TTTTTTTTTTTTTTTAAGAAGTTGGGCGAAGTCTAGGAGTTCCCAGCATGGAATTTAGGGAAGGCAAATTAATTGACTTATTTACAGTGCACAGTGAAATCAAGTTAGAACAGCAAATACAAACAATCTTGACAAACACAAAACTGAGGCATCAGTGACAAAGCAATGAATCCATTCAGATACTGAGACTCTCCCCAGCTCCCGTATCACTTCTGTCTGAGACATACAGCTACCCTGAAATCAGAGAGTTTGTTTGAACAACGATGCGTGCCCCTGTTTTTCTTACCTCATAAACATTTTATTTATGCCTCAGACACACCATGCACAAAAGGCTATTCTGTAACGTATGTTCCAGAATTACTTGTGGATGATTTGCTTTAATCTTTATGACTGAGTTCATTAACTAAGGGTAATTAGCAAGCAACTCGTTCCTCTCTCTTCCTTCCACCTCTAAGCATGGTAGAATATAAACTGTCTGGGAGACCAGTTGAAATCTGATGATTTCCAGTTCACCTCCATACCCCCTGCACTTCTATTACCATTTTTCCTTCAAGCTCTAAGTAAATGGACATGGGCAGCAAGCTCATTAAATCCACAGTAGTTTGGATTAATTCTCTGGCTCTTACCTGGAGCTCACCTTGGCTGAATACATCTCATCTCCAGCCTTTTCACTGTAATCACAAGTGAGGCATAACAATAAAGTCTGATTAATTCTCCTTCAGTTCTTCTGCTGAGTCCCTCCCTCTCTCCCTTCTCTGTTTCTCTTTCATGCTCAAGCCATAATCTACTGCCCTTGTGACAGCAGATGTCTGACWTGTCCCTTGAAGCTGAGGGGCAAGAGCCACTACTCCTGAAAGGCAGATAAGACTGCAAGAGATTATCCCAGCACACGTGGTGGATGCTCCAGCCAGGAACTCTGCCACCCTCCAGTGATGAGATTCTTGAGGCAGAGGTAGAAGGATCTCCTATTGACACTAATATGAGCTACAATATACCACTAAATGCCTTTATTATTTAAGGATCCACTGTTGCCTGATTAGTTGGGGATTAATACACCTAYACACAAACACACACCTATATATATCAAAGGAAGGGAAGAAAGAAAACAGAATACAAAGTAACAAAATAAATAAGAGAGGAGGATGTCTGCACCTGTACAAAGACATAATCATCCTGGACAATCAGAGAATTATGGTCAATATAGCCTGGAAAGGGTTTGCTGCGGGTGGCTTCACTGCAGTTCTGCATCCTGCAGGTGATGTATTGAGCATCTGAAAGGAAAAGGACAAAAACAAGAGACTTATGAGATCCTGCCCAGATTCTGCCTATTGCCACCAACCTGTTTGCTGAGGCAGCATTTCTGCTCCCCAGCCTCACATGAAACTGACACCCTCCATTCCTTCCAACCCAACACTTCCTTCCCTTACCTACCTGGTAGATCTGACCTTCACTGCTCTCCTCCTTAAACTTTCCTACTTATTGGTTTGGCTTAACTTCTCCTTATTTCTTTCACTCCACTCTAAATCAGACACCAGAGTTGTATGTTGCTCCTCTGCATTAGGAGACAGCCAGGCATTGCTGATCTGATTATATCCCACCACTTCTGTGCTTCCATGCAGCATACACAATGCYTGGGGCTTAGGTCTGACAAAAATTTATGGGCCTGAGCAGTTGTGCCTGTTCTGCAGGACAGATATTCTCTGCCATAAGCCTCTCTAGTTTCCCTATCAAACTCATGGTGGGGATTTCTCAGCAGGGCTAGGCAGTGTCTGCATGGTCATATGCCTGAGCTTATTTCAGAACGTGGTCAAGGTCTAGAGCATGTACAAGTGTAAGGACACCTTCAGAGACCACCTGCCTCAAGTTGTGGCCACTGAAAACCTCTTCCATGGCAGACCTCTGGGCTTCCTACAGCACTGAAAATCTGCAGAGTGATACAGATCTCCTGTATGGGAGTCTTACCTACTTCTCTCACAAAGAGAAGGAGCATACAAGTGGACTCTGCCAAACCTGGGCAATCTTTTCAATGTCACATGAAACTATAGGTCTTAGCAGCTTCAATATGTCTTATGTTTCAAGATAAACGGCCTACATGCAGCCCTAAGGTCATCTCATCCACCATCACCATATGAGGCTTCCTCAGTGTGTGTTCTGAAGSACTGGAGGATGCTCATCTATTAACCTATCACCTGAAAAAGAAGATTTCTTTAGGGTGGTCATTTTTTTTCCCAGARTATAGAGTTCTCAGTATTCAATTTAGACTCTTCCAGTCCAATTATGAAGTTACACTCTGTTTGAGGACAAAGCTCATTTTTAGGGAGAAGGATTTTGGCATTTTAGCATTAGCACTTATATGACAGAAACACTACATGGCATTTAATCTTAGAGCTACTACTAATCTTACTCCTTGTTAAGAGAAGACAGACACTTGTTTGATATCATTACCATCTGATCAGAAATACAGAATTTTCCTCTGAAATAGATATGGCTAGATTTTTCCCATTTCATATTTAATCTTCGTTTTAATTAAAATCTATCATTTGGCATTTCTCTGCTTGTTTCTAAGGTTTGTTCACTTCTGCTTGAAACAGACATACCAAGTAACGAACCTTCAGGAAAGTTTGATGAGGGTGATTTTACCCTGGCATTTGCAGAAGTCTTGGAATATAAAGTGCTAAGTACTATTAGTCACTGCAGTTTATGCTTTCACATTTTATGCTTTCACAGTTCACCACAAAACATTAATTGACACAGCCCGGACAGCATAACCAAAGAGCATTTCCCTTCCAGGGACATGTTTTTTTCCACATTAGCCACGAGAGGGCAGAAACAGACACAATTCTCAGCCTTCTCAATCCAAAGAACTCGGAAAAGTTGCTTTACAAAGCGGTTCAGGCCTCTCTCCCACCTGCAGCAGGACGGAAGAGGGATGGGGGCTCAGAATCTTTCCTGCCCCTACCACCATGTGGTACCACACGGTCCCTCCTAGTCATAGCTGAAGAACAGACCCGCTTCTGTCCACCTGCGACATAACCAATTCCCACTTAGCATATAAAAMCCAGTCTACTGCATCATGAATAACACACCCTCACACCTGACTCCACATTCAGCCTCTTTAGGGAGTCCTGGGTGAAATCCCTGGCTCAATTCTGACTCCAAGCAAAAYGACACGCAGAGCAATTGGTTAAAACAGCCAATTGTGCTGCCTCCTGAGCTATCCTGTGGGTATCCTGGATGGCTTTACAGCATGCGAGACTGAAGGCACAGAGCTTTGAGGGATYTGGGATGCAGGACAGGAAGGTGCTGGAACTGTCTGGCAAGGAAGATTAAGGAATGTCTTCCACAACAAATTTCAAAGACTGTGCCAAGCTACCTGGGGTTAACTTGTTAAAGGAGACTGAAGTCCATTTGGTCCTGCATTAATACAGGGATATGGAATATATCCATTTCTGTTATGATCACAGAAGTCTATACAGCAATAGATACTGCTATCTACTGCTGTACTACTGATAGAGATTTACTAATCTTTTGCCGTGCACTCCTCCACAGCTTCAATTCTAACATACTGGTAATAACTACTAAAGGGCAGAACACTGGAATCAGCTAAACTAATCTCCCAACTCCTGATGTGCACACCAAGAAAAGCTCCCTTTGCTATGGCACAGAAAGAAGGAAAAATAGGTTTCTTGACGTGCRCAGAGCCCTCCTTCTTCCTAAAGAAAGTTTTGCTGTGCTCACGTTAACTCAGTGATTTTGTTTTGGCATTTGATTCTCATGGACATTTTGTGTGATTCCATTGGCAGAGCTTTGTAATTTAGCATTAATTAATGTCAATTAATGTATTCTGCTGCTAAGCTCTGGAATTAATTTCATTAGTTTTTCCACACAGATGTTCCCTCTGCCATAGGTAATTAGGACATTATGCTTTTCATTTCCAGAATCCTCACCTCCAACAACAGCTGCTGTTTTTAATATACAACAAAAAATCATGCTGTGCCTAGAGAGAAGAATATATAGCAATTCCCAGCTCTTATTCCCACCAAAAACTTTGTTTTAGACAGGTTCAGACATACAGAGTAGGATTCTTCTCTGGGAATAGCAATTACTTCTAAAGAGGAAAAGTCACAGAACACAAGGATGTCCTACATCCTAGGACACGATGAGATGAGGAAACTTCTGATAAATTAATCTGTTGCAGTTTAGAAAAAGAACTGTGGATTCTAACACTCTCAGGAATAGAGAAACAGGGATATACTGTGACATGAGAGGTTACAAATTTATCTGTTTAGCTCTAGGTCTAGCTAACATGTTTTCAAGGCAAATACATCCAGCCTGTCTTTGAGACATGTTTGCRGCTCAACTGGCAGAGAGTCAGAGTTGGCAGTGGTTACCAGAGGTTGGTGAGACCATGTAAATGCACACAGGTGAGTGCCAAGTCCCTTCATAAAGCAGAGTCACACTTTCTGCAGGACACTTTGTTTGGAAGTGCTATTTTGGCTAACACCCCAAATGCTAATACCCACTGCCTTCTAGTCTAAGCTTGCATGGGTGTCTGTGGAAAAAAAGTTGCTTGATAACAAAGGGACTCAGAAAAAAATATCCCCAGGGAATAATCATTACAGATGTATCTTATCTCCCCTTGCTTTTTATTTTCTTCTTTGTAATTCATTGAGGAACATATCCTATTCTTTACAAAATTAATCCATTAAAGGACAGACCATGAGTTTAGGCAAAGAGCATCCAAGCAATCTGTGACGTTTTTATCATGCAGATTATGGAGTGTATTAATTTATTAACAAACACCTTAGACATCAGGCATAGTTTCTGCCTTTGAAGGGCGACTCTCACTTGCTAACTAATAAACCATAAGAACATGGTGACAACATATCTCTGCTAGTTCCAGGCATGTAACCCATCTCCAGAAGTGATTGCCTGCAGAATCCTAGAAAACATACGATTTTTTTTTTGTCCAGGTGACTTCACACCCCAGGTAAACCTTTAGTACCCATAATATCCTGTGGCAATAGGTTCCACAGTTTAATTGCATGTTCCATGATAATTAAATGTAATCTTTCTAAGCTCTTTTTTAAGGAAGACATGACTGTTCTTTATCCTTTTCCATCTGCTCAGAATGCTCATTCGTGAAATGTTTATGATATGGGAATATATTCACAACTCTCCAGCAACTGCAAAGTGATTAACCAGCAATGAAGATCAGTGAAATGAAACCAGCCCATTTACTAACTACTCACAAATCTGTTTTTATCCTGCTACTCCTCTTTCTTCATTRCATATCAGTCAGGAGTCTTTCTTTGAATGGGGGAGTATATCCTCTTCTCTTTCTACCATGAAGATATAATAGGAAAAACTAACCAGCCTCATTCTCCAGGATAAATACCAGGATAAATCAGCTACAATCAGGAAGAACAAATATAAATCAAAAATGAAATAAAAATAAACAACACTGCACAGGTTTAGGACACTGGAAATTAATTCATAGTTTTAGATATGTTAGAAAAGGATTGTAAGCCTAGGTTGACCACTTGCTTTTTCTACAGAAGCAATTTTGTTTTTCCTAGCAACAACCTGTGAAAACAGAAATTAAAGTCTTAGCAAAAGTTTGTGATTCGACATCCTTGGCCACATACTCAGTCCCTGTGGATCAGCAGAACATGACAAGTGATCCCAGGTGATGCTTTGGTCCTACCTAAAATTAGAGCAGCATCTAAATTACAATTTAATTAAAAACAAAAAGTTTTGTAAAACAGAAAAAGAAGAAAATATTTGCAGAAGAAAAGTAAAGAGTAGCACTTTCTAAATACCAGGAACTCTACATTTCTACCAGCACTCCTTCACTTTTTTTTCATCTACTCATTAAAACAAAAGAAAACACAAAACTAAAATATATTAAAATCTTAATTCAATACATTAATTGACATCCATATACATAAATAAATGCATGTCTCATCAATTTAGGAGTTGGATTTCTTGACCAGCATCTATAGAAACTATTACTTAGACATCTTCTGAATCAGATTTGCTGTTCTCTGGAGGRCCAGGGGGTACCCAGTTAGTTTCCGAATGCCTTGAAGGAATCTGCCCTTCTCATTCCATTCACCAGCCCGGATTCCTTAGTAGGAATATGAATAAAAAGTATGGTCCCGAGTCAATGAGCATAAATCAGGCCTTAATGGGATAAATCTTCCTAGCTCAAATCAGAAAAATCCATTTATTCTAAATCTTCAGGGGTTAATTAATTTTTTTTTTAATTATTATTATTTTATTTTTATTTTTTTTTTACAAATGTAAAGCCAACGTGGGCTTAAGTTTATTCACCTTCTAAAATAACTTGAAGCTGCATATGAGCAAACTTAGTTTTAACCTMTTCTGGTCACTTTGCTTGCTGACGATGTTGGAGAACACAACAAAGACAGACTTATGGTCTGGTTAAGAACAGTAGGGGATTAATTGTCTTAGTGGGGTGTTAACCTGACAATAGGCAAAGAAAAATGCCATAATTCCTGTTGATGTTGCCAGCCTGCTTTTGATCCTGTTCCAAAATCAAAGCACAACACCAGGGACACCCAGGCATACAAATGGAAATGTGAGATAAGGTTCATATGAATTTCTTCCAACTGGAAAATCAGTTTTGCTCCTGTACTTGCAGCCCCAGCCTGACTCAGATTGGGCTTGAAGCCTTTAAAAATTAAATGAAAACATCATTTCTCCACTTGGATATCTGACAAGATGAAAATTTGTCTGGTGATATCCAACATTTACACAGCAGGATTAAAAACACAAATGGCACTGTTTACTCCTGCAACTCTGTCAGTCACCATCAATACCACTAAATTGCTCACTCTGTATCCATTTTTTCCATTTAATCCGAATTCTGTAAAACAGAGTAAACTTTTTTGACTTTTCTGTGTGTTTAGATGGAGCTGAAATGAAGAGAGAACGAGAGAGAGAGAGAGAGAGAGAATGAGAGAGAGAGAACGAGAGAAGGTAAGTTGTGACTTGTGAGCTCAAGCACAGAATTACTGGTCAAATCCTCAGCGAGTGTAAATCACTAAGCCAGTGAATTTATATTGATTTATGTCTACTAAGAGACTCCTATTTCAGTCCTTGTAAACCTTTTACATTATTTATATAAATACAATAAATAAAATGCATAGACAGCCCATAATCAGAGAGTAGAGATTCAGCCTTATTGGTATTCTAGCAGAAAAAGTCCAAGACTAAGGTTTCTGCTGATAGACATTCTCAGGCAGCACTGCCAGGCACATGGGCTAACACCATACTCTGCTTTTTTTTTTCCTACTTTCCCACTTTTCTACTTTTCTAATTTTTACTAAATTTCTACTTCTCCTCACCCAAGCTGCACTCAGGGTGCACCCAAGCTGCAGTTTTCTGCTGGAAAAGACAGCAGCACAAGAATGAARCTGGCTTGTTACCTGTACTGAGTTCAGCAGGGTTTTGCTTAATCCTTATGTTCCTACTTCAAGATCTTTTATTTTATTGTATGCTTTGTGCAGTGGTTCCAACTCCACCTCCCTTTGCTCCTTCTCTCTATGTTGTTTTGGCAAGTCTACCTTTTCAACTTGAATCCCTTTATTGAAATTTTTACACTTGGTAAACTCTCAAAAGAGATCTGCCAATCAAAATATAAGTAAGTAAAAGCAAGAATGTAAATAAGAAACACACACACAAGCTGCAAATTAGACTCAGCTTGAAAAAAAGATTTCTCTCACACTTTAAAACACTTCATCGCTTCACCTGCAACAGCACACTAGCTTCACTCCAGAGGAGAAAGCTTCATTTATCAGTTGTATAATCATGGTTCTTTCTTCCAGGAACAAGGACTAACTTACTGCTTACGACTCAAGGAACCCAGTGATGTGAATGCAGACAGTCAGTCAAGGTAACTAGAGTACCTAACCATATGAATGCTCTTAGCCTTCCTCAGTCACAAAATCCTCTGATCTGCAGTGCTTTCCAATGTCTTTTGACAAAAAGTGCTGTGATATTTTCCAAGCTTTCTGCATTCAGCTACCTGCCTTAGCCCTCTGCCAGGGTCCCTGGAAGAACTGGCAAAAAATTAATGCAAGTCCAGCGTGCTAGCTTAACTGCTAACTCGGGACCTCCTGATTTGTGGGTAGAAGTTTCATCCTAAGGACTGTTCTTCAAGGGGGGTCACTGCCAGCTGAAGGTGGAACAACAGAGCTAGATTCATGTTTGTAGTTCTGTCACTGCCTAAGCAGAGTAGCTTAAGTTGTTTTGCCTCACAACTGAGCCAAAATACATGTGCAGGATCAGGTACTAGAGCTCATTTRGCAAACAGCAGTATGTTATTACACAATTTTTCAGTAATATGCGTGAATCCTCAAGTAAGGCATCTGCCCACGTCTTGGTTTCTGTTTTAAATGCTAGAAGCAGCATATAAATTTGGCACTCAAGAGGCCCTTTGCAGAAATAGCTGTGCAAAATGTTGTTCTCATAGCCTAAGAACACAAACAGGATCATTCATGACATTTGGAGCACAGCACCCACCTTCATGGCCCATCATGAGCTGTATATCCCTCAAAAGTATCAAACTCCAGAATACAGTCCCAGAAAATAGCTCCTTACACATCARTTGCAGTGCTTCATCTCACTGACCTCAAGTTCCCAGTGCCCTAAAACAGTAACATTTTGTGCTGAGTTAGGCGCTGTCCTATTAGGATGCTTGATTCTCATTTAGCACGTCCATAGAAACCCTCCTATCCTTGGCCTTGCTGCCACATTCACACAACTGAAAATGAGATCACCAATGATTATAGGACACGAATGCTAAGAAATGGAGACAAATTCTTTCACTTTTGCTAAACTTGCCTATCCTGAAAAGGGAAGACCTTTAAAACTTAATGATTTCTATCCCGACAGTTTCCTTTGAAAATTCTTCTCCCAAAAAATTCTCTTTCATGCTAAATTTAAGTGAGTTAAAAGTGTGGTTACCTTTTCAGACAGTTTGCAATGACAAAATATACCTTTTAAGTAACATCACCAAATTTAGGGGTATAATTCAGGGGATAATTTTATCCGTTTCGTAAAGAARTTAATTGACCGCATCCTTAATACAATCATATTGTAGTAGCAAAAAATCTGCCTGTTATGTCACAGTAAAGTTGCCATTTAGAGAGGAAACAATATAGAATTACAATGAGATGAACCATGGCATCCAGGCTCCTGTTGTGTCATGCCTGCCTGAGGCAATCCAGCACTGTGAAAGAGAAATCCATGGAGGAAAATCTGCCAAGGCAGAAGAGCTCAAAGATAAACTTGGAGGAAGCATGGGTGGGCAGAGAAAAGGCCAGCTCAGGGTGCCTGAGAGAATTTAGAGCCAATTAAGAGAATATTTTGGAGCTGCAGGTAAAAGAGGCCACTGGAGTGGAGAAAAGCACCTCAAGAGGCAGAGGAGGGAGGGAGAGAAGCTCATGAAAGTGAAGGACAATGATAGGACAAGCAATTACAGTGAAGAATGCATTCAGCCTGGTCATTAAAAGGTTTCTAATGTGAGAGAAGTGAGGTACTTTTAAAGGTAGAACCTAAGGCAGAACATCTCAAGTCTGTTAAGGCRGTTTGGCAAAGCTACATATGAGGTGGTATTACATACTCCGTCAAACAACAAGCAGCTGGACTTCATGACCCAGAAATTCTTCTCTAATGTCATGTTCCTATCTTCAAAAATCAAGTGGGAAGAAAGAACAGTACTGTACATTCTCACTCTAAAAGAAATTTATTAACTACTTCTCCTTCCTATATACTCAGCGGAAATCCCTCGTATTAAGTGAATGAACCGCTAAAGAGAAGTCAGATCCCCACCATGATGTTGTGTGGTTCCAAGAATATGAGGGCAGTCCAAGACACGATGCTATTTGGAAAGTGATGTACTTACGACCATCCACTGTCTTTGCTTCCAAGTGCACAAGGTCAGGCTCTCTACTGGATCCCATCATAGACCTGTAAGAGAAAAATTGATGCAAGTGCATTAAAACAACAGATATTATGGGTGATACTTGTCAGAGACATTCATTCCACAGATAAGGTTTAACTGGAAATAAAACTATACTAACAAGTAAGCTTTGAAAGCATTTTGGAGTCATCCCTAAAATAAAAGGTAAAATGTTATTGAATTTATACCTTTTTATTGAATCAAGGTCATTGTACTTATGAGTTCTTTATATCTGATCCCTTTGCTTCTCTTCTGCTATCCATCTGGAGGATATTTTATCGTTTGATTAGTGTCTGAAATTCTGACGTGTCCCCTGGTTTGGGTGTTAGGATGTAGTTCAACCCAGGGTGAGATACAGCATACTTTAATTGGTAGTACAGGGATGTTTTTTAGAATACTAATTCTAGCTGTTCCTTTATATTGGACATTTTATGCACATTTGCTTAACTGATAGTCTGATTGATCAATATTCTGTCATTAAGAAAATAATAATAATAAAAAATAATCCTGGGACATTTTATTTCTTCTGACCTAATAAAAAACAATATTCCATTAATAAAAGAAATGTCAGATGGATTCAGAATATGACTATTTTTTTTTCACTCTGAATTAACAAGCAGCAACAAGAAAGCATGCAGTACTGCACATAAGCAGTTATGGACAGAAGTTTCACTTCAACTGGAAAGGCATCGTCTGCCTCAATGGCCCTCTGCAGCTGGTCCAAATGGTCACTAGTTTGATGTGCAGTTTGAATTACAGCAGTGCTGGCTGCAAGTATCCACCACTCGCATTTCCCCATAGCCTCAGGTTCATCTCTTGGCCATGTTTCTGTTTTTCCTCTATCATCCAAGTGACAATCCCGGACTGAGGCTAAGGGTTAAACAACCAGTTTGTCACCTGTCTGATTTCCAAGTTCATACACATGTAAGGAAAGAGAAACGTTTATTTCCAGTGACAGACAAATTTGATGCTGTTCAGTCCGAAGACTCATTATTTTTCAGGAAATCAGAAGTGAAGTTCAAACACTGATTTAGACCTTAATTCAGTTCCCACTGACTGCAATCAGAGGCAGCTCTAGCCCTTAATCATCATGCACACTAATAGCCATTATAAAAATGTTAACAATAACAAGACTATTTRTGTTCTGATTAATCCCTACCTTCGCATGACAAGAGCTATAATAATTCTTTAGGTGGAAAGTTTTCCCTTTTTTTATTTTTTTTCTTTCCTGCCCTCTTTTGCTGGGATCTGTGAAAGTTTCTGAAAGGCTTGGAGCTAGTATTGCTTTCATTTCCTCTCAGTTTTTAAGTACACATATTGCAAGGCCTTCTGCTTCTAAGTATTCACCTCCATTTAAAATCTCTCCTTCATGAGGACTGACTCCGAGCAGGCAGTGGGATTACCTTTCCAGGGCTTCTTTTTTTTTTTTTTTTTTTTTTTTTTTTTTAAATCTTTTAGCTGATCTAATCAATAGAGTCAGGACTAAATGCTGGCCCTGCTGGTTGCAATTCTGTCCAAGGAAAGAAAGATTCTAGTGATAAATAGCCCTAAAAATTGTGTATGCTTTGATATACCTCCTTTTTATTCCTGTTTATTCAGATGGCTTTAAGTACATCTCTAGCCAGGCTATTTCAGACAGCACAATACAGCTTTGTGCATTCTTATTCCTGACCTGACGTGGCCTCATGAGGATATGAACTCTCCAGAGAAACAAGGATTGCATTTCACGGACTTGAGCACTTTGTCTCTTCAGAGACRTGCAACAACAGTATTTATTCACCAAAGGACTTGTTGCCCTAGTTAAAGCCTATGAGCCTACAATCAGGTGCTTTCAGAGGTTCCTCCTCGCAGCTCCATTCTGACCCACAGTAACACTTTTATTGCATCTTTTCCAGRCAAAGACAGCTAATACAGTGTGAGCTATGTCTCACTGATGGATGGGATGCGACTGTTGCTGTTTTTTCAACAGTAAGGCCCACTATTCACATTATTATTAAATGTCTTAAGAGTAGTGTATAAATACCTGGACCCACCAAACTCTGAAAGTTAGAAGACTGCAGTGATCTACATACTACTTAGTCTCACATCAGGATAGATAATATTGGGACTGTAGGGGCTTTAACTCAAGACAGAACTGAGTCATCAACTGTCCCAAGAATGAACAAGGACAACTGAAATATGACTTGTGTCAAATATTACTCTTTTACTCAAGGGTTTCATTTCTTTTGATATCTCCAAACCTTGCAAATTAGAAATGTGATGAGAAACTAAGATGAAAACTAATGCCTGGAGAAACTAAAGGACTCTCTAAAGTCAAACAGGACATCTGAGGTAAAGGCAAGACCTATAATGAGATCTTCCTATCCACTAGCACTTTATTCCTATTTTAGAACATATACACTATATCTTTTCAATATAATAGACCTAATTTGCTTGTGACAGCACCAGGTCACAGCCAGACCAATAATATTTCATTTTCAGATTATAAGAAATCTCTAGTCTTGTCTGATAAACAGACTCGAAGATTCTACTACCAAAACTAGATGAACAACAATTGTAAGATTTACAAACGGAAGGTGAAAACTACATGCTGGATTTGCGCTAAATAAACCTGAATCCTCAGGTGCTTTTAACTTGGTGCTTTTAACTGGACAAAGCTGCCCACTCTACTTTCTCCTTTGTGCACACAGATCAGTGCAACTTGATCCATTTGCACTTCACAAACTAAACAAAAACAAGAAAAGAGCTTAGCATCAGATAACTTATGAATTGAGTACCCTGCAAAGAATAGGGGTAACAAGTGAACTACACACTGGGAACCATTACTGACTTCACTCTCTGCAGTTTCTCTAGAAATAAACACCAATCCAAAACCTTGATGTGGTCTATTTCAAGTAACTTTTATTGCCTTTGCTGGGAGCACTTATTCTCAATAAATTTCTCAATTCCACTTTTTCAGGATGCATTTTCAAAGAACAATCACTCATACATTCCCAGATTTTTCTTCTTTCATTGGTTTAGGTTTTCATAAATATAAACATAAGAAGCTAGCAGGCCCTTTGTCCTTTCCTTCAATTTCAGGCTTTCTGTGATACTCCCTGAAACCTAAGTACAAGAATATACTCGCAATTACATTTGTTGAATGGTGCCTATTTTTTCCATTAACTTTTTGTCTTTTGTTAGTATAATTGCCTTGATGTTTTGAGGAAAAAAAAAAAAAGGAAAATGGAAAATAAAGAATGTAAAATAAATCTTTCTCAAAAGATAAAGTGTTTTGGGCAAACTGAAGAGACACACAAAAAAGCCAATAGGAGCATAAGGCAGTGTTTAGTGTTTCCTGATGCCTTTAAGATGTTCATTGTGAAATATGTACAATTACCATAGCCCTGTTAAAAGTCACTTCCTACATTTTTCATCACCATCAAGGATGCTAAGCAGTCATCCGTGCCTGAGAGCTTCACAAATAGTTTCCAATGGCTATAGCACGGTAGCAGAGTAATTGCTCTGAATGCAAATTCTCTATCCGTGAGAAGCAGCAAAGGGAAAAGACCCAGAATCATCCTCTGCTTTGGAGCAAGGCTGGAACAAACAAAAGGAGTCTGGCATTGCCCAGTGCATAGCGAATGCTAGTTGGCATATTTCTGCAGTGACCAGCTCTTCGCCATCTTCTCGTCTGACACATTTCTAAAACCTTGGCTTCTTATGCCTGTCAGCTCTTCAGAGCCGAGGAAATTCAACAGAGACCCTGTTATCCCTAGGGTTTCCACCTCTTCTATCTTTTTTTCCWCTTCTAGGGAAAAAAACACAATTGTTTATGGATGCCAGGAAGGGATGAGGCTTGCAGGGCAGTCAAACCACTCAAAGCTGCAAAAGAAACATCACTGTGAAGACAGCAAAGCTTCCACATGGTGTATTTCTTAATTTCAAATCACCTTTGTTCGTAAAGAAACAACTTCAAGTACCAGACAAGAAAGACACTGTCTCATGAGTTTGAAGCATTCTGAAAAGTAGTGTTGCAGGCCTATTATTTTAGATGCTTGACTTCAGACACAGTCACACCAAACCTAGAACTATTCACTCTTAAGAAATTTGACAGCAAACGTTTCATATGTATTCCTACYGTCATGCACACTTACAGTGGCCAAGATCAAAGGCCTTCTAAGCTAAGCAATCAAATACAATACTCTTTTAGAGAAGCACCAACGCAAATGGGCCAAAATGAAAGAAAGGCTGGAAGAACAGAAATTCTGCTATCCCCTTTTCATGGGCAGAACCACTCCTACCACAGTGAATGTGATTGTCTGAGTCTGGAGGGACAAGGAGGTGGTGCAGCTTCACCCTGTTTCATGGGAAGTGGTGAAAGTCTGAAATCATCGTGTGCAGAATCAGTACTTATGACCATCTGTCACCTTTTCTGGAGAGGAAAAGTATGATTCATTCACACAACGAAGGATGGAACAAGACCCACGTGGTTCTGGCCACTTTGAGCTCTCCTACGTTGACTCAGAGCAGCCAAGGAATGGCTGGAAAGCTATACTAAAGAGAAAAGTGACACAAAAACAGCTTGGAAAAAATGAATTTCAGTTCGCAATTGCCAAAATTGCTTCACCATCTCTTTGTCTATRTACTCTTTCCTTGCCCTGGTCACAAATGATCCCCATTGTTTTTCTAGCCATTAGATTCTAGTTGCATTCTGTAAATGACTTTGTGCTTAGTGTGATATTTATTTTGATATGTCTCCTGACCTTCAGCATTCCTTCTCCCCACTCCTAATTCAAGCACAGCTCTGGCTCCACATCTACTGCAATACACAAGAAGGCTAATTAGCTGCAACAGACAGGTGGAAAAGAGAACATGTTTTCAGAGATCCTTATGCCAAAGTTGTCCTATGAACATAAATATTCTAACAAGCTTTATCCTGTCACAACAGAGCCATAAAGTTGCTCTGTTCAGCACATGATAATGGCTTTGTAATTCAATTATTGGTAGAATTTGCCTTTGGGGATTT